AGCTCTGATGACGAAGACGATGTCAGCGAAGATTCCGATAGAGATGTTACAGAGCGCACAGATATCCCAGATGGCCTAAAGCCGCAAGTAGAACGGCTGAAAGCATTGCGAGCAAGACTAGCACAATCAACACAAGACAACAAGCGCGAAGTATACAAGGAGCACCAAAGAATGCGCGAACCCCCAGGAGAGCAGCGGCGATATGATAGGAAACGACGCGAAGCAGAGATACTGAAAGAAAGAGAGGAGTACCAGGGCAGCGATTACGAAAGATCGAGGTTTTGGAGTTACTCTGCTGAGCAAGTAGAGAAATACGAGGAGAAGAAGCGTAAGCGCCAGGACAATGTTGAGCGCGGATTCACCGACTTTGCTCAAGTCAACCAGAGAAAGTACGAAAGAGATATTGCCAAGTTCAAGCCAGACCTGGTCACCTACGAGAGAGAAAAGGCTGAGGGCACCAGTGGCAGCAGCCATAGCCCGGTTGGACACAAGCCAAACCCAAAGAACGTCGAAAGACTGGTAAAGACGGTGGAGGCACAGCAGAAGAAGCGCGGTGCTCTGCACAGGCCAAAGGTTGACGATGAAGACGAGAGCGTATCGTACATCAACGAGAAGAATGCCAGATTCAACCGCAAGATGAACCGTGCCTATGACAAGCACACCAAGGAAATCCGCGACAACTTTGAGCGCGGAACTGCGCTCTAAGATGGCCGTGCTCTTTTCTTTTGGTTGCTATCAGTTGTCTTGAGTAGTATGAAAGAAAATTGAAATAGACCGAAGGTGGAAAATGTAAAAATTGGTTTTTTTTTATTCAGAGCCGCTATCTACAGTCTTTGCTGCTTCGGACTCTTTTGTTGCTGCTTCATTCTGCAGTCGCTGCTTCTTGGCCTTTGACTGCTCAATGATCCGCTGCTTGTGCTTTAGACGCTTCTGGTCATATTTTGGTACAGTGCTGATGGTTCTACGGTCAATCGGCGCCTTTTTAAGCTTCTTCTTTTCGATTTTGGTGGGGTTCTTCATCTGAACCATCCACTCGGGAACCTCACAGCCAGACTCCCGCATGACATTGACAATTGTCTTGAGATATGGCCCATCCTCCTTCGTAAAGTAAGTGACAGCCTTACCGCTTCTTCCGGCACGGCCGGTACGGCCGATACGGTGGATGTAGGACTGGGCAGATTGAGGGAAATCATAGTTGACAACAAGATTGACGCCCTTGAAATCGATACCTCGGGCCAGCAGCTCCGTACAGATCAAGACCCAAAGCTCGCCAGAGCGGAACTTTTGGATGATACGGTTTCTCTGTGTCTGCGTGCGCTCAGAGTGGATGACATCGACATTGATCCCATCGTAGATAAGCTCATGGAACAGCTCCTTGGCACGGTCGATAGATTGAACGAAGATCAGGCAAGGCGGCTTGAACCCAGCAGCAATCATGTTGCGAACTTCGATCAACTTGCCTTCCTCTTGGCCCACATAAACGAGCTTTTGCTCAATAGTCTCAGTCGCTGCGTTCTTTGATCCGACAATCACGCGGATCGGGTCCTTCATAATCGTATTAGCCATCTGCTCGACGCTCGAGGGCATGGTTGCACTGAAGAGTGAGATCTGCAGATTGGGCGACGTGCAGGCTGCCATGATCTCATCCACCTGCTCCAGAAACCCTTTTTCCATCAGGCTATCGGCTTCGTCAAGCACCAGGTTGCGTACATGGCTAAGATCAACCTCGCTGTTTTGAATGGAGTGGACCAGGCGCAATGGAGTGGTGACAAGAATATCATATTTCTGGCGCATGGCTGGATCCTGCGCTTGTTCGGCAGCAGCCTTCTTCGTCATCAGGCAAGTTTTAACCTTCCTGCCCGCCGTAAGATTCCTCAAATGCTCGTATATCTGCGTAGCCAACTCCCTGGTTGGAGAAACGACAATAGCCCTAAATCCTTCCTTTTCGGCCGAGTGCACTTGATGTAAAATGGACAGCAAAAAGGCCAGTGTCTTTCCTGATCCCGTAGGAGCATTGGCAATTAGATCGCGTCTATGGATAGCAATAGGTATGGCTTGCATTTGAATGGGAGTTGGCTGTTTAAATCCAAATTTTACCAAATTGCGTAATACAAATGGCTGGAATCCATGCTCTTTGCACAGCATTTCGAAGGATTTGATCGGATGTGGTACGTCGTTGCCAGTTACTTTGATTCTGTGGCTTTTAAGGAATGCTGCCACCTGCTCTTCATTTTGGAACGGTGTGTGATCTCCTTCTTCTTTAATGTACTGACTGGCCGATCCACTCAGCTGGCTTGCTGGAACTGCCTCGCCTTTCTTTTGTTTTTGTCTGCTGTGATCTCCAAAGAAGTCCAGTTCTTTGGGCACCGTATCGACCACATCAACTGTTTGATGGTTTGCACGCTTCGAGGGCTACAATGATATATAAGCGCGCTTTCATAGAGCAGAATTTAGTGTTGCCATGGCGTTTTTGTCAATATCAATGCCATTTTGAATTTGTTTTTTTTTTCTCATTTGGTGTTTCTTACTTTGAACAAAGAAATGTCCTCCTTGAAACGAGACTTGTCAAACCTTGCACCAGCACCCAGTAGTTTGAAAAAGTCCATCGTCGCAACAGTATAAGCTGTATTTGAATGGCAAAATGGAAAAAAAGAACAAAATGCAGCAAAATGAAAAAAAAAAAAAAAGTATTTGTCCTTCTCTTCAACCCCTGTCGATAATCATTGGATTCCTGATTACATATGGATTAGATCACTGCGGCTTAGGCTTCGCTGCTGCCATCACTATCAACAACAGACGAGTAGTCGGATTCCCAGCCCAAGTTAGAATTCAGCTGAGATACCCTCTCATCATCTAGCATGTAGCAGCCATTCACATCTATGAACTGGAGCTTTTTGCATGCACCGAGCAAAGCATCTATGCCTTCGTTATGGACTTCGGTGCACTGGTTGATATCCAGGCTCCTCAATTCTGGGAAGCATTCTGCGATCACACTCAGCGTAGCATCGGAAATATATGTTTCGCCAAGACCCAGTGTCTTGATATTCGGCAGCATTCGAAGCACCTTTTGGATAGAGTGTTCAGCAAACATCGTTTCGCCTATGTCCAGCATTACAAGCGATTGGCACACTGCTTGGTTTTCAGAAAACAGCCGCTCAAACTCGCTGTCCTCCAGGTACTGACACAGGTTTATATTTAGGTGGGTGATGTGCTCGCAGTAGTGTAGTATCTGGTCTAGATGATGGTAGCTAACTCGTTCCCATCGCCCGTTGAGCAAGGAAAGGTCGATTACCCGAACGAGGTCGCCGTATTTCTCACATCCACGCACATTGAATGCCGTTGGCTGTTCAACTGTGTCGATAAACGCAACCAGCTGCATTATATGCTTGAATACCGGTGCTCGCCATATCAGTCGTACAGTGTTCACCCACATCTCTTTGCATGTCTGACTCAAATTAAGTAGATCGCTTTGCTCCAAATACAGGATGACATTGCTCACAATCAGAGAGTTTTCAAAGGCGCAGCTAGCCATCTAGTCAACTTGTGCGTATGTATATAGGAAATAACGGTGGAGAAGGAGTAGGTAAAGCGGTTTGAAGCTGCGGTTTTTTTTAATACGAGCTGGATACTCGAACGCAGCTGCTAAAGCTAAATAGCCGCGATTGTGGGCATAAGACGCCATCACATGCGGCATCCGCTGCTATAGGCCGATTCAAAAGCCATGCGGCATCCGCTGCTAGTGCTAGTAGTCAGCTATGTAGAGGGGGTTAACTGGGGGTAAACCCTGTCGAAAAAGATAAACGACTGCCGCCGTGTTTCTAGATACCCAATTTTCCAACAGCAGAAAACTGGACTCTGCCAATTTTACAGGCAAATAAACATTCTGGTATCTTTTTTGTGCAGCAACATGGCTTTCGGACTAGTGAAAGGAAAGGCGAGTTGTGTCTAAGACGACGCTCTGATTTTTCGAATAGAAAGAAATGTAAAACGCATGCCATACATAACCTTGATCATTTGTTGGGGCCTATAGTGCTTGGAAGTTGCTGCTCGGGTCTAACGAAAATAGACAACCAGCATCTTAAAAAAATGGCTGCCGTTTTTCCATTGAATAGAGACCCTGTATAAATTGTTTTAGACTTTAGGGCTGCAGACCCTTCTCCTTAGCTCTTCAGACTCGCTCTTCTTGTCTTAAACACTACCTCCTCATTACTCGTATTCAAGGAAACCTCATTGTAATGGTCCGTCTAGCTATCCTTGCTGCAGTCGCTGCTCAGGCTGTCAATGCACAGTTCAAGTTTGACCCCAAGGGGTATAACGCATCTGAGCTGTACAACTTTATCTCTGCTCATTATCCCTCTGCAGAAGCTGCTTGGAACAGGTATCTTTCCAATGCCAAAGCATCCTATACTGGCGCGTACCCAGCTTTGACTTCTTTCCTCGGAACTGCGACCATTCCAGCTACATTCGACCCTGTCTTCATCAGCAACCTTGCCGAAAAGATATACAGCGTGGGTCCCACTACTATTGTTGACCCTGCTGTTAACCCTGCAACGCTTGTCTTTACACGCACATTGTCCACTGGTACTGCAGCCAATACTGGTTCAGCCCTAACCCCAACCCCAACTAGGGCCGTTCCATCGCCAGCTACTGGTACTGACATGCTCTCATTACAACAGCCATCAACGAAGGGTGCTGCGCCTACCACCACCAAGAATGGCGCTGCACAAGGCTCAAGACCAGGTGCTTATGCTGGCGCTGCTGCTGTTGCACTGGCATTTGCAGGTGCACGCTGCCTGTTCTGAGAGTTTTGAGTGCCAAATTGCTCTATCTTACTGTATAGCCAGGAATTGGAATAATATACTGTACACAGAGCACGTTTGGTATTATAAAAAGACGAAAAAAGCTGCAAAAAGCCAGACAAAAACTAGACAATGAAAGCATTGGTTCCTATACGCACAAATAAAACTCCGACCAGATCCGGCCGCCCGGATTGGCCGCGTGGGGTGCTAGCTCAGATGGTAGAGCGCTAGCTTTGCATGTTAGAGGCACGGGGATCGATACCCCGGCACTCCATAGCTTTTGTTTTGCGCCACAGTCCAATTTTATATACACATTTTCCCATTCGGTTTTGTAGAGGAGGGCTTATTATACTGATATTACAACTCAAAGCTAACGTTCTGAACGCAGATGTAAGCCAGGTTACCCTTGGCGTCCTTGATGCAGCCACGCAAAAAGCCAATGGACTTGGTAGTACGAAGGCACTCGATTTCAATAGTAACAGTAGAGCCAACAGGAACGCCTGAAAGATAGTTAGTAGTAAGATCAGTAGAGACGATATTCTTTGCGCCATTAGCTACAACAGCAGTGGCAATTTTACCAGCAGCATTACATATAGTAAAAACGCAACCACCATGAATAGTACCCCAAGTATTACAATCAGACTGAGTAACGTTAAAGGAGAAAGTTAAAAAGGCACTTGTCAGTCTATCTCCTTTAAAACTAGTTGGTTTAATACTCTGAAGCTTTAAACGAGAGATTGGTGGTGTTGTTAATCTAACATTGGCTGATAATAGTTCTTTCTGATATGCAATAGCTCTATTGGTTAGTTCCTCGTTGGATACTGCTGAGGTTGGGAGTTCATGGGTTGACATGGTTTTCTCTTCTCGCGTTGTCTATGGATTTGAAAAGAGACTGAAAAGGAAGTGAGGGGGGGGAGGGAATTTGCGAAAAAGTAGTAAAAGTAGAGTTGAAATTTCAGAGAAAGAAAGGTAAAAACAAAAGAAAAAAAGAGAAAGAGAGAGAGGTCGAGGAGGAGAACAAAGAAAGAGGAGGATGTTTAACGAGTCACGCTTTATTTTTATTTGCCGTTACTTGAACATGAAAGATATTTTATCACGTTTATTGTGCTATGATCGGAAAGAGCGGAGCATTACAGGATCCGGTAGAGAGCATCGAAACAAACCGCAAAAAAAAAACATAAAGCTATTTTTTTATAAGCGGGCGGGGGTAGCAGTGCGATCCTGTTCAGCCAGCTTGGGCTTAAAGAACTTTGTATGGCTGCCAACAGCGAAAACCTTGGTAGCATCCTTAGCATGTCTAAAGACAGCTTCGGCGTTAGGGGGTTGGTGAATAGCATTCACCGTGCAGTCGATGATGATTTCAGTTCCAGCTTCTATCTTTGACAAAACGTTAATGGAGAGTGAAGTCGTGACGTTGAATGGGTTATCACTTAGCCCGGTCATCAGTATGCTAGTCATGTTGTCGGTGGTTGTGGCTATCCAGCCTTCCTCAAGGGTTCCCGACGAGTTTATCTCATTCTCTGTGACTGTGAACCTTATAGAGAAGTGCTGGTTCTTGTGGCTGACCGATGCAATGCTTACGGGCAATTCCTTGCCAAAGTACTCTATCGTGGATTTGGATTGAAGGCGTGCTTGAATAGCTTCTTTGAGTTTGATATCCTGGGCGGAAGCTGCCATTGTCTATATCCTAGCTGTATTGAAATATAGGGTGCAAGAGAGAAAGGGACAATAAAGTGTCTAAAGGGAGCAGAAGAGAAAAGAAAGAGAAAAGAAAAAGTGCAACGAAAACGAAGAAAAAAAAAAGGCAGGCGTACATCTGAGTGTGGATGATCATCTATTTTTCACATCTTTGGTTGTGTATTAACCAACCCAACTTTAAAGAATTTAGTATGCGAACCAACAGCATACACAGCCTTATGATTGAATTTATCTCTAAACGAAGCTGACACATGTGGTTGTTTGGTTTCAGTACTGGTTAGCTTGCAAACTATTTCCACCACAGTATTTGCTTTAATAGGACTAACACCCTGGATAGATATGGATGTCGAGACACTTTGTCCATTAGGTATCAGGACTCCAATCAGCATTGATGTTGTATTGTCTGTAACTGTGCCTAGGCAGCCTTCATCTATAAATCCGTTATTAATGTGGTCTTCTGTAACTAGCCATTCCGCTACCATCTCATTTTTGTTGATATCTACGGATACGAGTTTGGGTTGTATCTGGATTCCATAGTACAGGTACTTGTTCACTGCTTCCCAGCGCTTCTCAATGGCTTGCGCGAATTCCAAGCTGTTCATGGTTACACTCGTTCTGCTCTTATTTCGTCTATGCGTATAAAGGTAAAAAAAAAATAGAGCACAAAGATAGAGATAAGCAGACAGGGAAGAAGAAGAGGAAGAAGAAATAAAGAAAAAAGAAACCCGAGCGCTTTTGCATGGCTGACGAACCAAAGAAAAAGCCAAATGGATCTAAACTTGCTCCGAAAAGTCCGAGGCCAGCACAAAATTGGCGGTCGGGATAACGTAATACCAGAAAAAGGGAGCTATGGGCGTTACAGCTTGCCTCCATTTTGGAAAACATCCTTTACGTGTTTGGTATGAGTGGCCGTAGCATACACAGTAGATGGATCGTTGGCATCTCTAAAGATGGCTTCTGAATGAGGGTTAGCTTCGTGATCATGGGCCACTGAGCAGACAACTTCGATTTCGGTATTGGGTTTGATTGGCGCACAAGAATGGGCGCTCAAGCATACTGATACCGACACTGGCATGCGCTCAGGGTGGAAAGTAAGCGAATGTGTGGCTAGAAGCATGCTGGTGTGGTTGTCTGCAATGGTTGCCACCAGTCCTTCATCCAGCACTCCCATTCCATTTATGTGGTGGCCCTCCACCAGCATCCGCAAAACTATGTGGTGTCCGTTGTCGTCTACCGTATCCACGTATGCCTCATCATCAGCTCCATAGTACACGGATGTGGAATGCACTTCCTCGATTATATCAACTGGTGCCATGCTGTATTACTCTCTGCTGGGTTTAAGGAGAAAGAGAGGGGGAGGAGGAAAAGAGGAGAGCAACAGAACAAGAGAGCAACAGAACAAGAGAGCAACAGAACAAGAGAGCAAGAGAACAAGGGGGAAGGAGATGCCAAAAAGGTGGAAAAAAGAAGGAAAGTCAAACCCGGGATTTTCACATGCCACTAAAAAGGCAGGCCTCTTTTGTGGGGAATTAACCTTTTTATCTTCGGAGCGGTTTGAAGTACTTTGTGTGGGTGGCCAGCGCGTAGACATCATTGTCATCGACCGATGAGGCAAATGTGGCGATAGCATGGGGCATGTTCAATCCAGTATCAGTAACCCTGCATCTAATATGCAGTTTTGTGCCCAGCCTAATCGGTTTCAATGCCTGTACACCGAGAGATGTAGTCACGGCAGATTTGCCCTGATTCACCACGCTGATAAGTGTGGATGTCCAGTAATCTGCAACAGTTCCAACCACGCCTTCATCTAAGCAGCCCGAGCAGGCAATCTCTCTTTCCGTTGCAGTCATCTCCACCACTATGGAATTTGCTGCTGGATCTGCTTCAACCACTTTGCATGGGATCTCGGCACTGTAGTAGTAGTGGCTTTTCTTCTTTGCAGCTGTATCGATCACCAGCCGTCTGAAATCCTCATCCATCTTTCGTGGTTAAAATAGCAAAGAAAAGCAAAAACAAAAGCTGGGGGAAACAACAGCTAACAAACAGCCTAAAAAGGACTGGTGGTTCAAGTAGCCCTTAAACTGGGACTGCTTCCATATGGGAGAAAAAAAAACAGTTAAAAGCAAGAGAAGCTTAGAGCTTAGCGACTGCACCAGCGCCATTGACATTCTCCTTATACAGCATAGTGTGCATACCAGTGGCATAGACAACATTGTGGCGATTGGCATCTCTGAACAAGGCCGAGCTCTGTAACAGACGGCCATGGAACTGCACCAGCTTGCAGACAATCTCCAGCCTGGTGCCTGGCAGAATAGGCTCAACAGTGTGGACAGTCAACGACGTTGTGAAAGTGTTGGTGTTATTGGCAACCGCACAAATCAGTGGATCAGTCGCATTATCCACAACCGTCGCGAGCCACCCGCTATCCAAGTATCCGCGGAATATTTCGTCTTCTGTCACTTCATACTCGTAAATAACCTGGCGGTTTCTGGCATCAGCTTTCGCTAAACGGAGTTCTACTGAGCCGCCGAATCTCGTAGAATTCTGGGCTTCATTCAGCTTATCCAACAGATCTTGTAAGATTAATCCAGACATGCTTGACGGTGGCAGATAAAATTGAGAAGAAGAGGAGGAAAGAGAGAAACAACGAATGCGTGTTTGAGTGCCGCTTGCCATCAAAGCTCCACCAGATTGATTGCTTGCGTTGCATGCGCGGTAGAGGTCACATGGGCAGCGCGCAAAGACCACCAGTCACCGCCAACCTCAATCACGTGCACATCGTGCCTCCCATTGGATAACTGCTGCAATGTATAAACAACGCCAGAATCAGCCTGAAGCACAAGGAGGCACAAAACAAAACAGAGAGCCTTTGCTTCTTCAGACAAATTTTTCTTCTTGTAACACACATTCAAATTGCACGCCTTCCTTCTTTGCGAGAATGACCACGGCTGGCAGCGATATCCCAAAGATACAACTGGAGGGCAAGGAGGACGTGCTATTTCTGAAGAACCAGTTCAGCGAATTTCTAGAGAAAACATTAAAGACTAATGCAGCAGTACGCGATGCACCTTTTACCGATGCACAACGCAAAGAGGCACAGGTACTTGTACTATCCAAGCTAGACAAATGGGCAGAATCGATATGGGAAACAGCAGGACGGAACATTACAGTAAATGGATTTCCTTATCCTGAAGCCATGGTAGAAAAATCGCCCATTGAACCCTTGGATGAGGCGCTAAAAGCAGAAGTTGAAAGTCTGCGTGAAGAGGCTGATAGCTTATTGCTTTCTGTAGCAAATAAGAGAAAGACTGTACCTGGACAGATTGAAAAACTCATCAGGGACAGCGTTTGGCGTGAATCTTTAGCAGCTGAGCATACTACGGGATTGAAGGATTCAAAAGACGAGGATAATAGTGACAAGCGGGATGAAACAGGCAGCTTACCGTTTGTTGATGATAGAATCAATGGCGAATTCCAAAGTGCCTTGGCTATGGCTCGTAAACTTCATGAGAATGCACCAGAAACCATTAGTAAGCTTGAGGGTTTGGTGAATACTTTGGAAGACACCAAATCGAG